GACCCAGCTGTAATTAGAGCCACCTCTGATTAAACACAGTGTTAGGAAGTACACCGGGTTCCCAGGTCATACTCTTTTCAGTATTACCCCCATAAAGTACAATGATTCACTCCTACTAAACTGCCTTTGTTGTCAGTAATTATTGGTTCCTGAAAGTTTCTAGAAGGATGAGAGTTTCTAGGTTGCATCTGACCCAAACCCATCCAATTAAACTATTTGTGAGCTACCATTCTGGGTCAGACCCCATGCTAGGCTTAAGGATACCAAGCAGAATAAGTCACAATCCTAGCCTTCAAAGAGTTCATCTGGTATTGAAGGAGACAGGTAAGTAAACGGATCACTATATTATTATGCAATGAGCGGCAAAGATAGAAGCAAGAACAGAGACCAACAGTAGCATAGAGGAAAAGAAGTCTTTCCAGAGGAGGGGATTTCTGGGTTGGGTTTTAAAGTATGAATAGGTGTTCAATGGGAACTCAAGAAAAGAGCCTCACACATGCAAAGTGGGTGACAGCATTGGGCAGTAGCATGTACTAGTTTGCTCTAAGCAGTGAAGGATGCATAGACGCAACAGATGCAGCTAAAGAGGTTCACAGAGGCCAATCATGTTGGGTCTTATATCTTAGGCTAAGGGGCTGGGATTTTATCCTGAAGACAACGTGGGGAGAGAGGCATGGTTCTAAGCCCTGGAAATGATAGAGTCTGGTTTGCTTTTGAGAAAACTCACGCTGGCATCAGTAAGGAGGGTGGATGGGATAAAGCCAGCCAAGAGGCAGGAAGGGCCTTTAAGAGTAAATGTGAGATGCGGAGGCTGGTGCTCAGGCGAGAGCGGTGAGGTTGAAAAGAAAGGAATAGACACAAGGATAACAGCAAGAGGACTTGGTGACTGGTTGGATTTGGGCTCTGAGGGGGCGAGAGGAGTCCAGAATGACTCCTAACTTTCTGTGTTGGGCGAGTGGGTGGATGTTGGTACCACCGGCTGAGGCAAAGCATTTAGGAAAGTGAGCAGGCAAGAGAAGAGCGGGTGGGAGGATGATGAGTTTATATATGGACTTGTTGAGGTTAAAGTGCCGGGAGGTAGGGATCAGCAGGCAGAGCAGAGCTCCAGAGAGAGGCTCTTCCCTGTTCCTCTAAGAAAATATCTGGTAGGACTCATTCCTGGGCAGGGCAGAAGTATGTGTCATCCAAGCAGGGGGCCTCTAAGATGCAAACTGTCAACTGTTGAAACGAGCTGGCTCCTATGAGAAAACATGGACTGCATCCCCAAGCCGAGGAGATGAGGGCCCTGGAGGATCAACAAGGCCAAGGCAGAACCCTTGATTTCCCACTTATTTATTCATCATGCTCCCCCTTCTAGTTAAGTGACACTACCATATACCCCAAAGCTCAGGCCCAAACCCTAAAACCTACCCTTGCATGCCTCCCTTTCCCTCTCCCCATCCACCTCATCTAATTCATCCTCAGCCAGCACTCTATCTCAAACAGACCCATCACTCTTGATCCCCCATCCTGCTTTATTATCTTCCTAGCATTCATACTCTCTAAATATACTATCTAAAATAATATTATACATCTGTCTACTTGTTTGCTGTCTATGTCCCCTTTGGAAAGTAAGCTCGAGGAGGGCGGGGCCTTTGTCCTGTTCTTCATTGTATCACTAATCCCTAGAACCATGCCTGGCACACTGCACGAGCTCAGTATTTTGTTAAATGAAGTCCTTTTTTTTTTTTTTTTTTTTTGTGAGGAAGATCAGCCCTGAGCTAACACCCATGCTGATCCTCCTCTTTTTGCTGAGGAAGACCGGCTCTGAGCTAACATCCACGCCTATCTTCACCCACTTTCTGTGGGACGCCGCCACAGCATGGCCTAACAAGCAGTGCATTGGTGCACGCCAAAGATCCGAACCCAGGCCGTCAGCAGCGGAGCGCGCACACTTAACTGCTACGCCACAGGGCCAGCCCCCGTTAAATAAAGTTCTTGATTGGAGCACTTCTCTCCATCGTTGCTGACACCGCACTAATTCAAGCCCCCACATAATTCCCAGAGAACTCCTGGAGACCCCCAGACTTGGTGATTGACTGCATGTGGGCCAGGAGGGTGAGGGAGTAGCCTGAGGTGGAATGGGAGCCTAGTTTTTCCATTTCCAAGTCATGGCACCTCTCCAACCCACCCATTCTTCACAAAGCTGCCAGAGTAGCCCTCTAAAATCATAGATCATGTCACTCTTCTGCTTAAAATCTTCCAGTGCTCCACAAGGCCCAGCACGCCCACCTCTCCAACTTCACCTCCAATCACTTTACTCCTTAGTCTCTACTCCCCATACTCTGCCTCTGTTTCTCAAAACAAACCTATCTCTAGTACCAGTCCCACCTCTGTCTTCCCCAGCAATTTGAATGGATCCTAGCTCGTGTGCCACCTCCTTGGAGAAGCCTTCTCTGACCATCTAAACTAAAATACAGCCCTCCTCCTCTCCCGCAACCCCAGGCACCCTCTAGCACATCAACCTGGTTATTGCCTTCATATCACTTATCACAGCCTATTCTTATTTACTGATTTGTTAACTTGATTATTGTTTCCCTCTTTTTTACTTCACTCCTCCCCAGTAGATACTCCAGTGCCCAGTACATAGTTAAATCTCAATTAACATTTGTTGGATGAAATTGTGCTTCCACGATCATGATGGTGATGATGATGATGATGCCAATGATGCTCATACTAATGATGCTCTCCCACAGTGAGATGCTGGTTTGAATTTGTGGATCCGTGGACTGATGAAGCATGTTCTTGACCATCTAATTAAGGACAGAATCTATTATTGCAAGCTTGGTCTGGGCTTTGAAGCTAGGGTGTGTGTGTGTGTTTGAGTGTGTGTCTGTGTGTATTTACTTCATGCCAGGAAACCTCATAGTCATCATTAGGTACAATCTACCACCTGTTTCCATGAATATCCACTCAGTAAAAGCAAAATAAGGATGTGTCAGGTCTCCTCTATCACTTTGCAAGATGAGGTACATTTATTGTGTTTAGAAGACAATAAATATTGAGACAGGAAGACAGTCTCTTGGCCCCTTTACATGCCCTTCCCAGCTCCTGCACTCACTCTGCTGGGAAGGATTTTGAGGACATGCTAGAGAAGAGAGAAAATGCAGTTAACTAGACAGTGCTGGACGGAGGGATTGGGGCTCACAGCCAACAGGGGCTGCAGAAGAAAGATTCTGGCCAGAAACTGAAGAAGGATGACCTGACAATTTCAGTAACACTGATAAAAACTTAAAAGAAAAACATAGTTGAACACATCTCATATTGCCCCTGAAAAAGAGACATAATTTAGTGAACCTCAAAATCAGAGATGGAGGGCTGGCCTGCTGGCATAATGGTTAAGTTCATGCGCTCTGCTCCAGCAGCTCAGGGTTCACAGGTTCAGATCCCAGATGCGGACCTACACACCATTCACTAAGCCATGCTGTGGTGGCATCCCACATACAAAATAGAGGAAGATGGGCACAGATGTTAGCTCAAGGACAATCTTCCTCAAGCAAAAAGAGGAAGATTGGCAACAGATGTTAGTTCAGGGCCAATCTTCCACACCAAAAAAAAAAAAAAAAATCAGAGATGGAAGAAATCTCAATTGTTTCATTTTACAGATGAGTACTTTGAAACCCAGAGAGGGGAAAGGACTTTGCCAGGTCACACAGAAATTCCGTGGCTGATCTAAGATTGGAATTCTCACTATTCGAAGTTCGGTGTTTTTCTGGCACATAACATCACAGGTGTAAACCTAACTTTTAAGCTAAATTAGGCTAAGTCATCCATGTGTATGCTCATCTCTGTGATTAAAGAAACTAGCAAGAGCCTGTGTCCAAAACTCACCCAAATTCCTGCAGCTTCTCATTTCCAGCTCTCCTTCTATGGCCAGCATATTACAAAGCATATGTATCACTTCCCCTTTGACTTGCAAGCTGATGCTATCAAAGAGAGGCAGGAAACAACCAAAAGATATATGTTGGTAGAAAACAGAGTGTGCACACGAGACTTACAGAACCAGCGGGTGAATCATATTAGATACCGAACACTCTTTGAAGCCATCTCATGTCAGAAATCATGACTCTCACCCAATACAATTGTGGGAAAACAGGACCATTTGAGAATATCTGGGGTTCTGTGTGAGACGAAATGACAAGAGGGGAAAAAGAGGAAAATAAGGTTAAGCCTATCACTCAGGGTTCTAAGTTATAAGGTCACATATCTGGGAGCTCAGAAGGATTTCTATGAAAAATATAAATAAAAACATATTTCTAAACAACAAATGTGGAACCTGGGATCAAAATAAAAGATAAGGAACCACAAAGCACCAATAATCAGAAGTGGGGTCCAATCCTAAATAATTACCTTGGGCAGACAGTCTAGATACTTAACCTTTCTTCCTTATCTTTACAACAAGGTTAAGAATAGCAATAACAAAACGTAGCCATCCTTTACAGATTACTACCTACATGACAGGCAATGAGTTAAGCACTTTATATGCCTGCCTTCATCTAATCCCCACCTCAATCCCATGAAATGTAGGCATCATTATTTCCAATGAGAATCAGAGAGATGAAGTAATTTGCCCAAATTTATTACCAAGTTGTAGGACCAGGATGTGAATTCAAGTTTGAGTTCTTAATCATTATATTTCAAAGGGTGGTTCTGAGAATTACATTTAAATTAAAAATTTTAAAGAAGGAAAGCATCTTGCAAAGTGCCAGCTCAGTAGATGCTCCCTAAATGGTAGTTTGTGTCCCTCCTGTCTTTATTCACAATCCTTGTCTTAACCTCCACAAGCAAGAAGTAATAAGGCTCAATTCTCAAACCACCTGTTGCCAAAGTCACTGAATTCCTGGTCAGCTAACTGGGGGACAGACGTGAAGGAGAGGCCAGGAGAAGATTCTCACCACCAAACCTTCCCGCTCGGCTAGAAGACTCGGAATCTAGGAAACATAGGGAAAGGGGTGCCCTGGCTTTTCTGTAAGAACTGGAGCATCTAATTTTCTTCTCTGGGAATCAATTTCCCCTTTGGAAGGAGGGAGCTGGGCTGCAGGGCCCCTGCGGGGACCACAGAACAGTGGCAAAGAGCAAGCGCTCCGCAAGCGATTCAACTTCTCAGATCCTGCCCCATCTTCAAAATGTGTGATAGATAATAAAATGAATAATAAGTGTACGCGAATAATAAGTGTACGCAGTTCACAAAGTTGCTGAATTAAATCAAATAATTTACAAAAAAGCGCTTCGTAGAGAGCCTTGGACATGGTAAGCATTCAATAAATGTTACCCGTTATTGTTATTGCCATTATTATCACTATCATCTTTCCAACCCCAACATTCGAGGCGTCTCTATTAAGCCAGGGGATTCCTTTGTGAAAGACTTTAATTTACAAATGAATTCAATGGTCTGTCTAAAGAGCGGCTCTCGAGCCCTGTATTGAGCGCTTTCCGGGCACAATGACCAGGTTTTCTGCCTCCAAGAAAAGTCTGGGACCTAAAGAACCGCCATGACAGCACCTGCAAAAACCTCCCTGCCCCTTCTCTTTCGCGGCGGGGCGAGGGCTGAGCCCTAGACTTCCGCAGCCCGCCCACAACAGCTATCATTGGTCGCCTCGTCGCTGGCGTGATTGAGGCCCCGCCCCCTTCCCTCTGGGACCACTCTGAGGCGATCTCCGGAATCCGAGGGGCCTCTGAGGAGGGACCACGATGCATCCTGGGCTTTGTAGTCCGTCTGCACAGCTGCCGCCCGAGAGCGGGGCCTCACGATCCGGAGAACTACAATCCCCAGCAGCCGGGCGGCGGGCGGAGAGAGGGGGTCCCGCGTCACGTGGGCGCTGGGCCTGGGCGGGCTGTTTCTCAGTGCGGCGGCGGCGGCGGCGCGGGGGACCGGGGCCTTTTGTTTGGAGCGGCTGCGGGAGGCCCCGGAGCGGCGAGGCCGGCGGCCTTCCCCAGCTCGCTCGGTCCCGGTCGCCCCTCGCGGGGGTGCGGGGGCCGCCCCCTGGGCCGGGCCCTGCCTCAGGCGCCGCCGCCCCGCCCTAGGCCCGCCCCGCCCGGCCTGAGGGGAGGAACCGGCCGGGCCTCCCCGCGCGGCCCAGCCGCCTCCGGAGTCGCCGCTGCTGCTCTCCGTGCGCCGGGACCGAGGCTGCCCCTCGCCCCTCAGGCCGACGCCATGAAGATCAAGGATGCCAAGAAACCCTGTAAGATGGGGGCTTGGGCCCGCGGGTTGGACGACCACCTTGGGCCGGGTCTGGAAGCCCCTTGGCGGAGCGGCCTGGCGGGAAGCCGGTCGCTCGTCGCCGGCGCCCAGCGCGGGATGGGGGCGGAGGGACCATTTCAGCGCCGGCTCCCGGGCTCCCTCCCCATGCCTCTGTACGGGCGTGACGAACGCCTGCCGCCCCCTGGCCCTTTCCTCCCACTTCCTCCGCGAGATCTGGGAGGTTGCAAAGGGGAATTTTTGATTCCGGTTTTGCCGAGCCAGACTAAGAGCTACCAGTCCGCGCTCCCCGCTTCCTCTGAAGTCGGGTTGAAAATGAGTGGTCATGGCTGTCACGTTGCGCGGGGGCATTTACCACCCTTTTTTTTACTGATTTCTGGACTTCCGGCTTGTGTCCTTGAAATCCCGGTGAGTTCCTGGGAGTTGTCACTGTTGTTACCATTAGAGCTTTTAAACACACGTGCATGTAACCTGCCGGTGGGTAATTGCCTTGGCTCGTTTTTGTTTAGAATAACAACTAGTTCATGTTTGTTTAAAAGAAACACAGATAAACAAAAAAGATAAAAGTCACCCATATTCCCGCCACTCGGAACTAACCACTATTTATATTTTGGTGAATACTCATAGATTTTTTCTACGACCCTATATGCGTGTACTTTTTTAAAAAACGTTCTTTCCATGCTTTAAGAGAGCAAATAAACTTTCGTTTGCGACCTTTTGTTTGTAGCCTTTTAAAAACCTTTTACTCCTGTAAATGGCTTATTTAATCACTCAGCCATTGATTGTTACACTAAAGTCCATTCTTCCAGAGCAACTAGGACTGTGGCGATGCATGCTTATATCTTAGAATTCTATTGATATTTTCCAGTTTTTACGGTGTCTCATGTGATCCTCCCCACAGTTCTAAGAAATCTCTTGCTGTAAAACAGAACACCGACACCTTCCCTTCTGTCCCATCAAAGTTCTTGTAAACCTCACAGGAGAGGCATCATACCGAAGCACTCTGAAAACTGCTAATTGTTATTTAAATGTGAGATAATTCGGTCTTAATTTTACGCATAGGAAATTGAACTTATGAACTTCACTAACTTTTCCAAGGCTACGCTAGCCAACTCTTTGCCTGAGGTCCAGGGCCCCAAGTCAACTGACTCATAGTCCAGTGTTCTTTCTTCTGCACCTGTGGGGCGTAGTCTAAATCCTTAGAGAAACACTAACCTTTCTAATCTGGTAGTTTTATCTGTCAATTGAAAAGAATTTTTTTAATGATGATTTCTTGTGATAGCTAAAGAGTTCTTGTCCAAGGAGTCTAAAATAGTGATGTGAAGGCTTAAATGACAATGTAGTGTAGAAACACTTCTAGTTTACTCTACATTGGCTGAATTACACTGATCTTGAACAGATGCAGCAATGTAGAACACTTAGACATCTTCCCTCAACACATACATTTTCTCTGCTTGTCTTAGAATATCCATTTAGTACAATGAGTTTAACTATGACTAGCTCACGTTCTGACTCATGGTATTTTCTTTCTGCCACTGTAGTGATTTGATTTCTTAGATTTGGGCAAACTTGTAATCAGGTACGAATACGACCTGTGTCAAAAGTGCTTCAGCAAAGATGATATTTAAAAGTTTATAAAATAGACTTTAGATTGAGAAATAAAAGAACACCTATTTTTTAAAAGTAAGTTGCTTATAACTACATTGTTGTACATTGTGAAACCATTAATGTTAAAATAGAGTCATGCTGAAAAACTAGTCAGGTAATATGATTTAGAAGTCTAAAATAACATTTCCAGTTTCAAAAGGTGACTTTACTGCCTACCCGATTTTTTACAGTAAAAATAAAGAACATCTTGTTTTTTGTGTGTGTGGGAAAGAAAGTATTTCAACTGTGAATATAACTAGAAAGTGTTCTTTCTAATTTTTTAAACCACTCAGGTTAGCTAAAGATATATTTGCTTGTTTTGTTTTTGAGTCTTGTGTGTGTTTTTTTTTAATAATTATAAATTTAGTGAGCACTTAGCAAGTGTAAGGCACTATCATGGTACCATTTAACCCTTACAGCAGCACTAGTAACTAGCAGCTGTATCTCATACTGGTTAAACAAGTGACTTTGGCTTCACACACTTTCTTATTCACCTAAGTGTTAGAAAATATTGCTTTTAGATACATCACTAATATATTACTAGGTTATAGACCAAATGCATGTATTTAACCAGAAATATGAAACGGAATTGGTTTCATCCTCTAGATGGTATACCTAAAAGATAAGCATTTGAAATTATGTGTTAATTCAGCTCCAGGGGAAGGGTGAAGTCAGACATTAACCTAATGAAAAATTTTTGCTGGTTGAAATGATGAGAACCAAAACAATGCATTGTTTGTTTGCTTTGCCTTTACTTGTGTTTTTCATACTGTAAAATATTAGGTGTGAAAAATCCAAACAATCACGTGTTCCTCTGTACCTCAGCTGACGTGATTTCTTAAGGTATAGGTTTTTCAGCCTTTGTTTTGCTTACCTGTATGGCATGTAAATTGATTAACAAGGTGATAGTAAAAGATACGTGTATATATTTTTAATTTGAGGCAATATAGGTTTTTGCGTCTGTCCTTTGCTAACCCATGTGGTAAGGTGCCTGAAGTTTTTGTCAAGACCAGAGAGAAATATATAGCATCTGTGTGGTTTGCTTCTATATAATTTGATTGGCCTGTTTGTAAATTGAGTCATTACTTAAGAATTATCACTTCCAGTAGATAATAAGGTGCAATTGGAGATGTTAGCTTCTAATATCCCCTTAGATGTAACTAATTTACCAAAGGAAAAAAAAAAACTTTACCTGAAGCTTTTCTGAAGAATTATAATACTAAAGGTGTGAAGATGGTTATGTTCTTAGTCCGTTTCAAAACACCAACATTTTTATTTGGAATGATTATTGGGAAGAACTTGAAGTGTATCTGGAATTTACCAGTGCACATGCCCATTTTAGAATTTTGTTCCTTAAAATAATCCAGTAATATTTTGGACTTTTTCAGTATTTGGTTTGTCTTTCTACTAAAGAACAATTAAATCCTAATTTGGCATAGGATCCCTTTGGGCTGAAATCTGCATGGGGCCAACAGCAATCAAGTAGCTCTTGAATGCTTCTCCCTGACCCCTTTACCAACACTTAGCAAGGTACCAAACTTTTATAAGACAGCTTGGTAGAAATTAACAGTCTGTCCTTGTGGTTAGGTATCTTCTGCTGTTTAATCATTTAAAAAGATGGACACGCAGGTTTCTTCTTTTGCATACATAATTACCTAGTAAGAAAGATAATTCTTGGGGCTGGCCCTGTGGCTTAGCGGTTAAGTGCTCGTGCTCCCCTACTGGTGGCCCGGGTTCAGATCCCGGGTGAGCACTGACGCACGGCTTGTCCGGTCATGCTGAGGCGGCGTCCCACATGCAGCAACTAGAAGGATGTGCAACTATGACATACAACTATCTACTGGGGCTTTGGGGAAAAAAAAAAGGAGGAGGATTGGCAATAGATGTTAGCTCAGGGCCGGTCTTCCTCAGCAAAAAAGAAGAGGAGGATTGGCATGGATGTTAGCTCAGGGCTGATCTTCCTCATAAAAAAGAAAGAAAGAAAGAAAGAAAGATAATCCTTGGTAGCACTCTATGCTTATGGTGGTTCTGGATATTTTTGTTACTTTTTTTTTTTTTTTTGTGAGCAAGATCAGCCCTGAGCTAACATCCATGCCAATCCTTCTCTTTCTGCTGAGGAAGACTGGCCCTGGGCTAACATCTGTGCCCACCTTCCTCTGCTTTATATGGGAAGCTGCCACAGCATGGCCTGGCAAGCGGTGCATTGGTGCGCGCCGGGGATCCGAACCCGGGCTGCCAGCATCAGAGCACATGCACTTAACTGCTACGACACAGGGCCAGCCCACGAGGATATTTTTGTTACTTATGGGCAGCTCTGTTAGGCTCAAGTGAGAAATAGAATAGAAGCTATTTTTTTTGAAGGCCAGGTAAACAGATCATGAGAGATTCTAGAAAATTTTCAAAGTCTGCAGAAGGTAATGTATATTTGCCCTTATGAAAGTACTTGTTTATATTTATGGAATGTGTGTTTTGTTTTTTAAGTGTGTATTTTGGTTCATTTTTTTCACCTTGGCAGTGGAGAGTTTTATTCTCACAAGAATAAGAAATGTTTAGGTTATATGCAATAAGTAGGCTGGTTATGCACTGGTGACCTACTTTTAACCTGTCCCTTGGCTAGAAGCAACAAGCTATAGATAGTTGCCTGATTTCTTAGGAAACTAAAATTTTTCTTACCTCATGAATTATTAGTGGACTTGTGGTTGTACTTACCTCATACTTTTGTTGCAAATAAATAGTTTGAGCTCCATGCTCCCTCCTCCTTTCATTTTTGTCAATGACACAATATCAAGCATAAGTATTTTTTTAATGCACTGGAAAATGTACAAGTTGGTAATTAGACCACTTGCTAAATGATAGGAGTGGACCATACTTAAGAATTTGTGTCTTCTGTGTTCTTGTCCTCTCCCCCATGCATTTTTGGTTGTTTGTTTCGCTTGAAGAAGATTAGCCCTGAGCTGACATCTGTGCCAGTCTTCCTCCACTTTATATGTGGGTCTTGGCCACAGCATGGCTGAGGAGTGGTGTAAGTCTCCACCTGGGATCTGAACCTGCTAACTGGGGCCACCACGTGGAGCACACAAAACTTAACCACTGTGTCATTGGGCCAGCCCCTCTCGGTGCTTTTTGAATGGTGCTTGTTTCTCTGGCATAAGGAAATGAGGGTTTTTTTGTTTTTTGTTTTTTTTTGTGTGTGTGAGGAAGATCAGCCCTGAGCTAACATCCATGCTAATCCTCCTCTTTTTGCTGAGGAAGACCGGCTCTGAGCTAATATCTATTGCCAATCCTCCTCGTTTTTTTTCCCCAAAGCCCCAGTAGATAGTTGTATGTCATAGTTGCACATCCTTCTAGTTGCTGTATGTGGGACGCGGCCTCAGCATGGCCGGAGAAGTGGTGCGTTGGTGCGCGACGGGGATCCAAATCCCGGGCCGCCAGTAGCGGAGCGTGGGTACGTAACCGCTAAACCATGGGGCGGGCCCAGGAAATGAGTTTTAAACTCTGCTGAGTTGAAAGGATCTCTATGCAAAAGATGGCCATTACCAACTTTTGTTTTTCTGTGTTGGAGCCACAGGCAAGACAGTTCTCTTTCAGTCCCTACCTTCCTGATTTTAAGAAGAAAATTGTGGGGACAGCCCGGTGGCATAGTGGTGAAGTTCACGCCATCTGCTTCTGAGGCCTGGAGTTCGCAGGTTCAGATCCCCAGGGAGGACCTGATGCATGGCTCATCAAGCCAGGCTGTGGCGGCACCCCATATAAAATAGAGGAAGATGGGCATGGATGTTAGCCCAGGGCCAGTCTTCCACAGCAAAAAGAGGAGGATTGGCAACGGATGTTAGCTCAGGGCTAATCTTCCTCCCCCCCCCAAAAAAAGAAGAAAATTGTCGTAATTGAGATCTGCCAAAAGTAGAAGGGACGTGTGATGTTCTAGTTTGCATATTATGGTTACTAAGAAATTGATTATCTGCAATATAGCATCTCTACTTACCCTTCCTTTAAGAACAGACAGCACTGAAAGAACAGACATATCTAATAGGCGATATTAGGGAGATGGGAGATGATTCTTGGCCTTTTTGTATTGTTAATTTTAAAAACCTGCCTCTGTGGGCAATACCCTTGAGGATATCGTATAGTTTTTCGAATTTAATTTGCAGTTATTTCATAGAACCTTGTCTTTCTCTAGTGCGATATACAAACAAGTAGGTTACACCAAGGTTTAAAATTGAACGGTAATGTTCTGTTTCATGAGTTTCTTGGTTGTTGGAGGTTGTGTTCTTCTTTATGCCTTTTATACCATACACATTGTATTATATTCTTCAGTATTTAATGTAATTTAAAATGAATAAGAGATTTAATATACTGTAATATAACAAAGCTTTGTTAGAAATGTTTTTTCCTTTTTGTGTAAAGTTTTCTTTTTGAGATAGGTCAAGTTTGGTTGTTTCACGCAAATAGATCAACAAAAGCCTTTTAAAGGAGAAGTAGTGGAAGGTTTTTGTTTTCCTTTATCATTTTAATGATAATTATACCTAAACAGTCATTTTCTTTCTCTGAGAAAGAGTCAAACAATTAACACTTTCACGCACTCTGGACTTCGGAAGAAGGATTTCATTCAGTGAGCCTTTCTACTGCCTGCACCAGTGTTACATATTTTGGAATTGGCAATTGATATACCTTTGGGGTCAGAAACCTTTGTGCTCATGCATAGCTTTAGAAAAGTAGGTAATTTCTTTCTCTCCAATATTTTATCTATAAACTTGAAATATTTTCCTAGACAGTAAGATTCCTTTGAAACTTAATTCATGGTTTTGTGTAAGAATTAAAAGTTCTTCACATAAGTGTTAATTGGCGTTTTTGCTTTCAGGCGTGGCAGTATTCAGAGCCAGCCCTGATGGCCTAGTAGTTAAAGTTTGGCGATCACCACTTTGGTGGCCTGGGTTCGCTTCTCGGTCGTGGACCACACCACCCATCTGTCAGTTGCCATGCTGTGGTGGTGGCTCACGTAGAAGAACTTAACAGCTAGGATATACCACTGTGTACTGGGGCTTTGGGGAGAGAAAAGAAAAAGAGGAAGATTGGCTACAGCTGTTAGCTCACGGCAAATCTTTCCCTGCAGAAAAAAAAAAAAGTGGTAGTATTCGGTAGTATTCAGGTATTTATAAACGTCTGAGCAGACAGGAACTTCTGACTGAAAACAAAAATGGCATGAACTTTGAACCTGGAAATGCTTCAGCTTTTCCAGGTAGTTTGGAAAGTTCCAAACTACTGGTAGTTCCAGTAGTTTGCTCCCTGAGTAAACATTTTATTTGTGTGTATATTTTGACACCTGTGTGTGTTTGACACTGACAAAGGCAAAGAAAGAAAAACTACAAACATTTAATGATTTTTAATGTTTTGAATTTTGGAAAATAAAGGTTTTTAGCATTATAAATCTCACCTTGTAGAAATTTTTCTATCCCAAAATGTACTTTATGTGGCAGTAGTGATTTCCACAGCCCCCCTCCCCATGAAATCTAGAATCAAATAGAATTCATTTTGGTTATATCATATCGGAAGGAACCCTCTGTTTTATCTAATGCCCATTGAGAAGTGTCCTAATTACATATCTGTTCAGTTGACTGGGAAAATGCTGAAGGAATCTCAGGTGTGTTGGATCAATAGAGGTATTACATACTGTTTTCTTTAAATGTGTTTGTCCCGGCGAACACTTGCTGTGAATTTCCCTTCTGAAATCGTTAGTACTGCTGCTTGCTACTACTGATTTATTTGAACAAGCGGGAGAAAGGTGATATGTAACTTTTTATGTGAATTTCTTTAAGCAGGAATCCTAGATTTCATGAATAAACTGAAAACAAAATTTAGTGAAAGCACATTTCTTTTTACCTAAGGGTATTATATGGTGTCTCCTTTTTTTTTTTTTGATTGTAAATGGCCTATCATTTGTTTCCAGAGTGTGTTAACTTATCTAAGATGGCCTCTGTTGCTAGCCACCCAATGAAATTGAGAAAATTTAGTCAGTTTCTTCTGCATCTTAGTTTTTTTTTTTTTTTTTTTTTTTGTGAGGAAGATCAGCCCTGAGCTAACGTCCATGCCAATCCTCCTCTTTTTGCTGAGGAAGACTGGCCCTGGGCGAACATCTGTGCCCATCTTCTTCCGCTTTATATGGGACCACGCCACAGCATGGCCTGACAAGCGGTGCATCGGTGTGGCCCAGGATCCGAACCGGGCCGCCAGCAGTGAAGGACATGCACTTAACAGCTATGCCAAGGGGCTGGCCCTGCATCTTAGTTGTTGATACAAATCTACAGGTGACATAAAACCATAGTGGCTGTTTGGGGTCTTGTTGCCCTACCTTCCCAAAGTATGGTCTTAAGTCATTTTACTTTTTTAAAAAAAATGTTTCTTTTTTAAGATTATCTTCAATGTAGGTCTGGATCTGCAACGTGGGTTTCAAATACAAAAACAAATGAGCTATTTCTCCAGAAGATAATGAGAATTACTCCTTCCTTGTATTCAGTATAATTTACTAATTTCAGTAAATGTAAATTCTAAAATAGAGAAATGTATAGAATCCTTTCTCATTGAGTTGTATGATCCCAGTTTCTAATGGGACACGTGTATTAAATAAGTAAAATATGAATATTTAGGAAACAAAGTAGAATTTTAGAGAAAACTAGTTTTCCTTAACTTATACGTAAAAAAAACTATTAAATACATTTTATCAGGCATTTTGTAATCCATGTATCTTAAGCATTAAATTATTTTTGAGTCTCTATCATAATGGTTAAGATCCCAGGGAATATAAACAGACCTTAAGGAAACTAAGATTCAGAGAGGTGAATGGCTTTTCCAAAGTCATATAGCCTGGTTGGTAAGAGCACAAGGTCCCAAACCCACACGATGCTGCCTGCTCACATGTGCTTGTCCCCAAGTAGACTTTCCTTAAACATTATCAATAGCTAATTTTATTAACCAGATGTACCATAGAAACCTAATATGCTTAATGAACAAAGAAAAAGATTTCTTTTTAAGGAGGTAATTTTCCCTTGGGTCACTTGAAGTGATTATAGGCCAATTTTATAGGCCAATTTTATTACATTAAAATCCTTATAGAAATGTTTTCAAGCCCTAGGTGATGATCTATTTATTAAAACAGAATTCCTCCAAATTTTTTCTAATCCCCTGGGGCACATGATGAGTATTTAATAAGTGAAGAGGAATGCCTACCAGACCAGGAATGAAAAGGCCCTGGGCCAGCTCCAAGCATCCTATGTTAGGGATTTTTAGAAAATATGCAAAATAATACTCTGAAGGGAAAAAGGTGAGTTGCACATAGAAGACGTCTACCTTGTAAGTATTATTGACTGAATGTATGGTTCAGGGTAAATGAAGATGGTGGCTAGTTAACTAGTTCCTGATTTGCATTTCCAAAATTTATATGTATATGTACATATTTTTTTTTTTAACCCACAGCCTTCCCGTGGTTTGGAATGGACATTGGGGGAACTCTAGTAAAGCTCTCATATTTTGAACCTATTGATATCACAGCAGAGGAAGAACAAGAAGAAGTTGAGAGCTTAAAAAGTATCCGGAAGTATTTGACTTCTAATGTAGCCTATGGATCCACTGGTATTCGGGATGTACACCTTGAACTGAAGGATTTAACACTTTTTGGCCGAAGAGGGAACTTGCACTTTATCAGATTTCCAACCCAGGACCTGCCTACTTTTATCCAAATGGGAAGAGATAAAAACTTCTCAACATTACACACGGTGCTATGTGCTACAGGAGGTGGTGCTTACAAGTTTGAAAAAGATTTTCGCACAGTAGGTATCGGTTACTCAAAGCCAAAGATTGATACCCATTCTCTTCAACTTTTAAAATATGAGGCTAGGTTTCCATCTAGCATGTTTTTTAGGTTAGTTCCCCGTGCTGATACAGAGGAAGTATGTATTCATGACTAGCTTTTGATTTGGGGCATTTAAACACCTTTATAGGATGAGTAAAAATTGCCCAGATTTGGGCTTGTTGTACATAATGTTTGGTAAAACTTGTTAAGTTTAGAGACTGCTACAATGCTACAATAAAAGGGGATTTCAGTGAATTTGGTGGTGTGCAAAGCCATATATAAATAGGGCTTGAATTATTTTCACTATTATTGTCCTATGTTTGCATGGTTTTTTGAGTATTATCCATATAGTTATCTTTCTCAGGGCCTTCTGCTTCCCAACCCCCAGCTGAAGTGAGTGTCTTGATTAGTCAACACCTGAATGAAAGTGTCTGTTACCCCTTTTCTCCTGATTTTATGCCATCAACCCTACTGTGTTCCTGTCTCAAAGCTGGTTGTCTGGATATGGCAAGAGGACTATGTAAGCGTTGATTTGAGTTGTGTGCTAGTAGGGGTTTGCCAAGCTTCTAATCCTTCCTGTTAGAATAAAGATTAAAAAGTGTTATTTGGGGCTACTGAAATTTGTTTTCCTTGAAAATATGCATGTGGACCATTTAATTTCTCAAATTCGTATTAATAAAAGTCTGTTAATAAAACATAAGTGATCACGTATATGGCTTACATAAGTGAGCCCCTTGTAATTTGGTGTAGTTTAAAAGTCTAAATTTTTATTAAAAAATTTTTTTCTTTTAATGGATTATACTGATTAGTACTCAATTTATTGAATAATTTGAGCATCAGTTTCATGAATTTGAGACTGGTTTGCTTAGAGACATGATATTTAATGTTTGCTAGTATTCTTGCCAAAAGCAGTGTCCTTGAAGCCAACTTTCACCTGGGCATTGAAGATACTTGTATTGAAATAGGGAGTTTTAATTTTTTTTATTAAAATATCAATATTTTCTAGTGATAAAGTTCTATAACGTTTTTGTTGATGCGCAATCATTTATTAAGCTCATATTTGAGCATCTAGTATGTGTCAGGTATTGTGCTAGACATGGAGAACTCAGCTAGGAATAAAGACATAGACGTAGTGTTCAAAGATGGCAGTATTCTAGACCACACAGATAAGTGAATTATATGTAAAAGTGCAATGCCTTATAAATAGTACTATTGCTATGAAAAGAGGTGCCATGGGAACACCAGAGGAGTGGTTACCTAACAAGTCCTGGAGAATTGAGAAGCCTCCCAGAGGAAGTGATATCTAAGCTGAGATCTTTTATAACAAATGTTTTATGTTACATTCTTTACTAACCTGAAATGAATTTAATAATTTCAAACTAGTACCCAAAGTATAATATAAAGACAAGAAATGAAGGTATTTATATATCAGTGGGTAGATTTCTAGTATGATCACATGAGAGGGCATAATGAAGTAGTTAGAGGCTTGCACCTGTACATAGATTCACCATGAATTCTAAAGCCACAAATGCTAGATTGATAGGGTATGTTTTATTGGAGAATTAAATACCATAAATGGTGTTGCTGTTGGTGACATAACTTTCCAAGATGCTAAACAAGACTTGGTAAAATTCCCAGTAATAAAAAGTACCGTATTTCTTCGTTTTAAATGATGGTTGCATTCCTAGCAAATTTAGTGTATATTAAAACCGTGTAAGGTATACTTTGTGTTTATGTATATAGATCAAAAAAATACTTTGTGCTTACATAGGTTCTGATAATTGCAAACAAATTTTCCTACTGCTACCTACAAAACTTTTTTGTAGCGTCAGAACGCTCAAAGATAATGCAGGGATGGAATAATTCTTTGTTTTGCACAACTGTCCCACCCATTGCGGGCCTTTGGCATCCCAAATCCCTGCCCTCTAAATGTTAGTTTGGTCCTCGCCTGCTCCCCATCTTTGTGAAAACTAAAATGTCCCCACAGATTTCTAAAATGCCTCCAGAGGTAATACCACCATCACTGAGAACCACTGGACTAGATGAAGTCCCTAAGAGATTTTGACATGAAACAAAACAAGTGAAAATGTGGGGGTCATAGATGATTTTGAAGTTTTGTAAAGTGTACAGTACAATTGAGTCAAGTATTTTGAATGTTGTCCTTTGTTCCCTTTGTGAAACTTTTTCGTGTGTGTTTTTTTTTATTTTTCAGATTGGAAACCTCCACCTGCACAAACTGGATGAACTTGACTGCCTTGTAAAGGGCTTGCTGTATATAGATTCTGTCAGTTTCAATGGACAAGCAGAGTGCTATTATTTTGCTAATGCCTCAGAACCTGAGCGATGCCAAAAGATGCCTTTTAACCTGGACGATCCCTATCCACTGCTGGTAGTGAACATTGGTTCGGGAGTCAGTATTTTAGCAGTCCATTCCAAAGACAACTATAAACGAGTAACTGGAACAAGGTAGTAGCCTTTTTATTCTTATTGCAGCATTCATATTGTTTTTTATACACAGAAGTTGTGAAATCAATATATCAATGCTTCATTGGGAAAATAACATGTATTTGTGCAACAGCAAAAAATGTAGATGTATAAGTTAAAGTGTTGCAGATAATATTGTTTTATAAGGTATGTATATAAAGACTCAACTAAAATCATTAAATATTTATATTTGGTTAGCGTCAATTGGCATAAAAATTTTCATAATGATTGAATTTTTATCTGGAATGATTCCAATAACTTTTTTAGTTTCCAAAGAATTTTTCTTCTTTCCTTATTTTTCACTTTTTTGTAGATGTTTTTAAGCGTAAAGCTTGCCACGTGCTGATTCAGTTCACATTTAAGCAGAGTATTGGGCACTATTGTGATTAATTCTTATAGGATGAATTTAACATGAGCTCTTTATGGGATAAGATTAATGTTCCAAATAGCCCATAAAATTTTCTATAATACCTGAAATATAAACGTGAAATGAGATTTCAAAAGTTTCCTTATGATTCTGATATGTACTTTATCAACTTTTAAGGAGGGTGGAGACTCTTGTTTATTTAATTGAGGAAGAAAGGTTTTGGAATACTTTAGATTGCTTTGTGAAAAAACTCATTTTAATTTTAACGTAGTTCTCTTACCTAAATGACCCTTAAATTTAATTAGCATTTTATTTCTGTGGTGGCTAAAAATCTACCTCCATTGTGACTTTCTATGCCAGAGAATTACAAGGAAGTATTACCTACTTCAGTCAATTCTAAAAGACAGAAATTCAGTCTCTTAACTAAATTCCAACAGTGATTCAGGGATAGAACCTGTTAGAAAATTAGACAAGACTAGGGAGCAAAGGTTTTGATTTTAGAGATTAGAGAGACGTGATATTTTGTGTGCATTTCCAAAAGAATAATAGAACCAAGTAAATTTCTATTATTAACATGATAACCAGGCTGACATAAATTTTCT